TATATATATATATATACTATGCTCCAAGAAGCATAATATACATTTACTCTGTCATAACCATTGTTAGAAAAACCGGGCGATCTAATCGCTAACCCCCCAGTTAGATCGGAATTGGTATTTTATTTTTTTTTAAAAAAATGTATATAAATTTTCAAAAATAAGGAATTTAGTTTGTAATGCATTTTTTAATATTCTTTACATCATGGTAAAGATTAAATTTTTTTTTTGTTATTAATACTCATTTTAATTAAAAAATTGGTTTTAATTTTTTTCATTAATTTTCAACTTCGTATGAATATGCTTTGTTTTAATCATTTTTTTATGTGTTTTAAATACTTTAGTAGTATTTTTTTTTTTTTTTGTTATCTTTTTAATTTTTTTCAACACTTTTTTTTACTGCCTAGGACTTGCCCGGCTAGAACGGTTGAATCGACCAGTTTATCGGTTAGGCTGGTTAAACCGCTTTTGGGCCCATGTCCGGTTAACCATTCCGGTGCGATTTTACGAACACTGGTCAGAACACTAACCTGGGATTTTTTTTAAGTTTCGCGAAGTTAGATGATTATTTTCAAAGAAAAAAGTTTATATCTTGAATTCATTAACCTTTAGATCACTCCCTCCAAGTATTGGACGGTTTCGATGCAATCCGGGGATGATATATTTGGTAGGAACATACAGAGTGAGTTAATTTTTTTTTTCTTTGAGGTATTTTCCCAGATTTTAGAGATCACTTCCCCAAATTTTGAGATCAAAATGATATCCCTAGAGTAATTTTTGCCCTAGGGAGTTAGCGGATAGTATACTCCTGTGGGAGTAAAAAATCTTTTGGCACATACATATAAATATATGTGTGCTCTAATATATATATATATATATACTATGGATATGGTTTTGGTTAGTCGGTCGAATCACCTGTGCGATCCCTTGTTGATCTAACGCCCAGATGGATGTCAAAAAAATGTTACATCCACTAAAAGTTAAAATGGATGGTGAAGAAAGGAATTTAATAAATAACATTTATTATTATTATTTTTAATCCAAATTTAGATCATCGTCATGGTTGAGACTTTTGAACTCTAAAATTTGGATAGAAAATACACCTCTGAGATATATTTTGTAGGGAGACCGTACAAGTACAGTGTATCGTCCAACTCACCAAACACTCATCCTATATATATATATATATATATAGAGTTTCAAAACAAAACTTATTGTATTACTTGCCTTTTTGTTCATGTACTCGTTTTCTTTTTTTTTAAACTTTACAAATTTCCTATTTTTGTTAGGTTTTCTTTATTTTTTGAATGTGATACCTGGGCATTTCATATTAATTGTTAGCACAAATACATAGAAGCGTTCAATGACCAAACCACTATGTATCCAGTATATAATGAAAATGTTGGTTCGATAAATTGGCAATCACCTCACCCTTAGGTGTTAATAAAATTTTGAGTATAAGTTTTTGTGGTACACCCAGGCATCCAATTTTACAGTTGACCTTACCTGCGGTGGTTGTGACCAGTGTTCGAAGGCCTCAGAAACCAGCCAAGGGCTGGTTCCGATCAACCAGTAAACCGGCTTATTAGACCGGTCTAACCTGGCAAATCCCGACCGGTCGAAAAAGTGTTAAAAAATAAAAAATATGAACAAATCTGAAAAAAGTATGAAAAGTATAGTTAAAGCATGATTAAACAAAGTAAATCCAAATGAAGTTGAAAATTAATTAAAAAAATAGATTAAAAAAAATCGATTTGTGTTTAAAAGTATTTTTGAAATTTTTTTTTTTAAAAAAAGGAAAAAAATTAGAAATAAATATTCATTGCCAAAATACTTTCCAATCTTTGTCAAAATGATAAAAAACATTTAAAAAACACATTACAAACAAATCCCTTATTTTTTGGGATTTTATATAATTATTTTTTTATTTTTTTTAAAATACCGAGCCGGATCACTCAACCCGGCCAAAGCCAAAACGGGTTACTGGACGGTTCGGATTTGAATTGGCTAGTTCCAAATTGAACCAACCGATATTGCATTCACTGGTTGTGACGATATTATAATTTATACTAAAGACTTGTTCAGCATATTTCAGTTAAAAGTAAGCATGACCATTTTATGGGCCGACAGTAAACTTTCTTGGGCCGAAAACTACAAACGAAAGCAAACGACATGGGAAGCAACAAATGAGAAAATAAAACAAGGAATGTTCTAAGTGGGGTGCCACCCCACTATTGTTAGAATGCCCACCATTGGATGGATGGGCAGGGTGATCTAAGGCGTCGAGTGAATAGAGGGGTTGAGCCAATCGAACCGGTCGATTCAACGAGTCAAAACATAGGTACAAGCTTTGGTTGAAAGAGAAAACAACATTTTGGCTCTTTGTGAAAAAAGAGGGCCACCGTGTTGGCTAAGTGGGCAATGGCAAATGAGGTCGAAGATGCTGGTGTGCCTGTCCACATCCTCCATATACTTTTTGCCATCAAAATGCAAAGGGAAAACGACCCCTCTTCCTAGGGACACACAACCCAGCCCATGGCAAGCTGGATTCCATGAACCTTCCACCTCCTCTTCTCTCACTTTAGAGAGAGAAATCCTTTTCTGTATCTATCGAGAGAGTTAGATATTTCTTCTTCATTGTCATGGTTGGACAAGACCCTTGGTGCATCGCCTATTTCTTCTTCATTGTTGGACAAGACCCTTAGTGCAAAACAATATATACAAGTCTAGTGAATACAAAGAACACCTTAATTGTTTGGAAATAATGGTACATGACCAGACCAAATGCACAAAGACTCCGTGCTCTTCAAGATCATCTCATAAAATTCACCTTCCTTATGGTGTGTCAAGATCTCAGCATGAAAATGCTGAGCTCTTGACCGGAGCACCCCACAGGATCAATCATATGGAATGACTCTGAATCCTGGGACCCCACCACCCTTTCGAAGCTCGCCCTAAGGTACATGAGCTCACCCTCCTCGGGTTTCAGGTCCACAGATGGCAACACCCCTGCTCCTACAGACACCGACCTCATGAATCTCAGTATCGCAAAGTCTGCTTCTGTAGCCTGGCGTCTGACGGCAAAGCCGGTCCTTCGGCCGTTGCAGTACATGGACCATACCGGCACCCCGAACAGCGAACCATCTACACACGACCGATTCTTGTTGCACTCCAAGGTTATTCTGAGGAGCCCTTGGCGCATTTCACGAGCCAGGTAGCTCGTTGGCAATGCAAACTCTAACAGTAGCAGGGGCTGGCCTCGAGAGCTGTCCTGCAGGCAGAAGCTCACCCGACCTCGTCTGTAGCCAAAGAATGTGCCCGTGATGGTCGAACCTGTGGTCGAGCCCAAGTTGGACTCGGTGTCATCGGATGTGTAGGCCATGGACTGGCACCCACAACAAGGGACTATGAACGCGACTATGGTCCTCAGGGACCTCCAGCACCTCACATCCTTTCCACACTCCACCGTGGTGGACCTGTCTATTATGTGAATGGCCCCTCTTTCACCACCCAAATCAATCATCCTCATCCCTTCAAAAACGAAGGATGCAAGCCTCCTTAAGGGAATATGTTAGGCTCGCTTTTAGTGAACTATATAGGTTAATTCAGGTTTTCTACTCTAATTTTCAAGACCCAAGACCAAAAATCTTGGCAAAAAAAGGGGATTTAAACTGGAAATAACTAATTTTTTCACAATTCAAGAACCATGAATAGGAGTGAACTTTACCTAATCCAACTTGGGGAACCTTTTGATTGTCCTAGTCTTCTAAGCACCAAAGAAGTACCAAAAAAAAAAAAAAAAAAAAGGGAAAAAAAAAAACGAAGGTGAAAAAAAGTATGAGAAAAGAGATCTAAAGGTACCAATTGTAGGTTTGGGGTGTAGCAGGACTAAGAAGCAACTATGAACCAAACCATACCCATAAAAAAGGACCTAGTATATTATTATAAGGGAAGAGAGGGGAGGGTGGTAGAGAGAGAGTATAGGTAGGTGTGGAATGAGAGTTTGAGGGGTAGAGGTTTAAATAGGAAATGAAAAGGAGGTGGGAGGCATGTATTTTTGTGATGTGGGCCGAGGTATCAAGGCAATAATTCTCAGCACGAGGGGGTGGGGCTCTCAAGGGCAATGGCAGGGGCTTGGCCTTATGCATATGATGTGGGCTAGACTGTTACAGGTGGGCTAATGAGCCCGGGCTCCTGTAGGTGCCCATGCGTGTGCAATGATGGGTCCTCTCCCAAGCCTGCCCACCTAAGCGACAACGGAAGAGTCAAAGTTGAAAATCCTCCTCATACCAACGACTTGAAGTGGTCCTGAATCAAATAAGAGAGAGGGAGACTAATCTCTCTCTCTCTACCAAGTATAATATCTGAGAGAGATTTATTTCCATGGGCACATTGCTTTTGCTCTATCAGCACGGCCCCCTCTCTCTTAGACTATGGTCGTCTATCTATTTATGTGAATTTCTCAGTATGTGGACATGGTTTGTGGATGAATGTAGGCAGGGTGGGTGGGTTCATTGCGGATACAGACGACGGGGTAGCCAGCACCAAGCCTCTGAGCAGCCACAAGGTGGGGCTACCCCCTTCCTTGTGAAGCTGCTATCATGGGGATCGTCAATGGATAAAAAAGCGTTGCCCTCCCTCTCCTGATTCATCACATCCTATAGAGAGAGAGAGAGAGGTATAACTCACTGTAAAGTGGATTGGGTTTTAGGTATTGAGGGGTGTGTCTTTCGGACCTATTATGTTGGTTCCCTTTCTCACGAACTAATGCAACAAAATCTTCAGCTTCTGGCCTTCCAATTTCGAACGAGAAAAAACAGATTATGAAAATGTACACAGTAAAAGAAAAAAAAAAACGCATTGCAATTTGGACATTTCTCAATTGTTTTATGTTGAAATTAGCACCTCGTATGCTTGGTATCCAAAATCACCCCAATTTTCTCCACGCCCAAAAATCACTTCGGGTTAGAAAATGTAGCATAAAATGAAATTTTAAATCTAAGCGATTCGGTGCTACTGTGGGAGGGCAAAGACCTAAGCTAGGGGTATTTTTAGGACTCGAAATTTTTGTCATGTAACCTCTAGAATATGGAAACCAACTCCAAAGGAAAAAAAACTGTTCAATTGTTGGATGGACAATAAAATCTTAAGTGTTAAAGAGCTCGAATTGTTCTTCTTATTTTTTTTGTTTTTGAAAATAATTATCTTATGCAGTAGTGTTGCCAATTTACTTGGCTTCGACCGAAGTGGCCAACGTCTTCGGATTTTAGGTGTAGAATTATCGCTCAAGTTAGATTTAGGATGCTTGTGGATGATTTGGCCGAAGCTTTGGCCACTTCGGCCTAAGAAAAAAGATTTCTATATAAAAGTATTTTTTTTATTTTTTTCGAAATTTTTATTTTAAAATTTTTTATTATTTATATATATTTTTATGTACAAAATTATCTTATTCATTTTATGTAAATTGTTTTAAAAAAAGTCCAAAGTCTTCGCACCAAATTACTTTATTTTTCTCTCGAAACGAAGAAATAGAGAATGGAAGATAAGAGAGAGGTACTCTGGGAGTCACCATAGGGATGGTTTTCCCAAGTAGTCCGTCCCCATTTCCTAGGGTTTTGGTCCCCCCCACCCCACCCCACCCCACAAAAGTAGTCATAAGAAGTGTGTTGTTGCACGCCCTTTGCTTTCTCGCACTTTAATAATTTGTAGTGACCACTTTGCCTCTTCTCTCATGCTTTTGATCAATAAATTATTTGTCTTTCCAAAGCCAATTTTGACGGAAACTTATGCTTAGGGCATTTTCTATAATGCGGCAATCATGTCACGCTCCAAAATAGAACCATGAATAGATGCTCATTTGTAATTTATTCCCATTTCTTATGCCAAACTCTTCATCCCAATCCCCAAAAGCCGTATTAGCCGCACAAGGGAATAATAACGACAACAATACCACTATCACACCCACATATCATGATTTCACATAGTGAGTAAAAGTAAATTGTCTTATTGTATGCTATAAAATTTAACAATTTTATTTCAAAACAATTTCCTCCAAATGTCTTACCAAAACGGTGTTTAGGGTTTAGGGTTTAGGGAGACAATTTAACAATTTTATTTCAAAACAATTTCCTCCAAATGTCTTACCAAAACGGTGTTTAGGGTTTAGGGTTTAGGGAGACAGAGGCCTGAACACAACATCCTACCTACCTACCTAACTGTTAACATATAAAAAGAAAATACAAACTTTAAAATACCCCAAATATGTTTGAAATTTCGATATAAATACAACATAAATGTTAAAAAAATTCGAAACATTCATCAGTATTACACAAAATTCCTCATAACGGTCATTATTTTGATACATAACCCGATAGATAAATTTTTTAAAAAAGTTCCTTATTACATATTTTTCATGATTTTTATTTTTATTTTTTTTAAAAAAATACATGTGAAGATGACTCTCCAATCTGCCGAAATTACCTTTTGCAACTTAGAAGTGTCCTCCAAAGGATGAATGAGGTGGTAGGATACTGTTTAATACTAGATCATGGTGATGATCACGATGATGATGATAATAATAAATATAGTATAATATTAATGATGATGATAATATTCATATATAAGTGGCAGTATTATAAACTTCCCCGCGCCGATACTAATAATAGTACCTATAATGATGATGAAACTTTCAAGAAACTATAAATGATGAGAAATGCGAGGTGTAATGTGTAGGTATGTGCAATGAGTGGTTCTTTCATTACCTTTTATTCTCTTAGTGTGGAGGGCAGGGCATCCTCTAGGTGAGAGTATCAGGTATTATTCTATTTTTGTTCTTTATTATTATTTCTCTTGTTCTCTATGAATTGGGAAAGCATTTCTGAAAGATCAAAGTATATTACAAGACCTGTTACATTTGGTTCAAAAAAGCCTCAATTTGACCTGTTACATTTGGTTAAAAAAGCCTCAATTTTTTTTAAGTAGTTGGCATAATAAGGTTCTCATGATGTAAAATTAGATGATCACATAAAATTAGATGATTGGGGCACAATAAAGTTATTATTATTTTTTAATGCTGAGATGAAGCCCCAGCCGTCTATTTCTTTGTCTAACCATTAACAGTTAAAAGTGATCATGCTCTTACTAGACCAGAAATAAATGATCTAACAGCATATAAGTAGACCATAAATGATCTAACAAAATATAAGTAGAATATGGTCTGTGCAGCTTCGAATTTTTATTTCTTGTAATTTGTTATTACTGGGCATATTGTAAATTTTATGAAAAATTGGAAGGAACTCTCAATTCAAATTTCCTGATAGTGGACATGGAAAGTGACTAACATGAATATCATTGGTATAGCATACAACGGCATAGATCATCTCAAATTTAGAAATTTGGACAAAACAAATTGCCAAAGACTTGGAAATCTATTTGTTGCTAATACTACTTCCTTTTTTAATATATATATATATATATATATATATATATAAAAACGCCTATAGGCGAAGTGCTATAGTGTTTTGCTCCCGCCACAGACATGCTATGTCGTTTTACTTAAAAACCGTCACGGACCTACGGGGCTTGTAGCGGTTCCCGTATATTTTTTGCGTCAAATTTGCATGAAAATTTTTTTTTTAGAAAAAATCAAAATTAAAATACGAATGCAATCGTGATCATTTGATCAGTCTAGATTCAATCTGGGTCATTGGATGTTTACTGTAGCTGTCAGC